TTCACTGTGGAAGGGATGGGGTCACTCTCGAATTGGCCTTCTCAGACACACTAGATGCTTTCCTAAGTCCTCCATGCAGAGCACATGACCATCGTCTCTCGAGACTTTTTACTGTGGAAGGGATGGGGTCACTCTCAAAATGGCCTTCTCAGACACACTAGACGCTTTCCTAAGTCCTCCATGCAGAGCACGTGACCATCGTCTCTCGAGACTGAAGGATGCCACTGATGTTTCATTGATTCTAGGTGAGGAGACGATGAAGGCAATGCCGTGAATGGGCTCAAGATCTGAATGAAATGTGACAAGAGGTTTCATGCCCATCCAGCATCAGGGCTCTGATGCTGGCATGATGAGTGTCCTGGATTTAAAGCCGCCTTGCTTGCAAAAAGCTAATTGGTCATCCTTTTATGCTATTCTCTCCGAGACGTGTCTCAGATATTTGGAGGAGAAAAGCAATCCTCTGAGGCTCTGGCCAGTGGCCAGAGACCTGGCAATTCTTAAGTAAGGTTACTTAAGGAACACTGTGTAACCCCCCACCACCACCCCATTTCTATTCCAGTAGTCTGGCAGGGCAAACCCGATTCCCCTTCTTCCATCTTTATTTGACACTAATGTTAATTGTTGTAATTGAATTGATGCCTTTGAATTGTGGTGCTGGAAGAGAGCCTCTTGAGAGTCCCCTGGACTGCAAGGAGAACAAACCTATCCATTCTGAAGGAAATCAACCCTGAGTGCTCCTTGGAAGGACAGATCCTGAAGCTGAGGCTCCAGTACTTTGGCCATCTCATGAGAAGAGAAGACTCCCTAGAAAAGACCCTGATGTTGGGAAAGTGTGACGGCAAGAGGAGAAGGGGACGGCAGAGGACGAGATGGATGGACAGGGTCATCGAAGCGACCAACATGAATTTAACCCAGCTGCGGGACGCAGTGGGAGACTAGAGGGCCTGGTGTGCTCTGGTCCATGGGGTCACGAAGATCCGGACGACTAAACAACAACAACAAAACATTGCTTGTTCACATTAATAACCTGTGATTTTTATCAGCAAGCTCGAGGCAGCACGCGTGACTCTTTTCCTTCTCCCCATTTTCTTTTCAACCCCGGTCTTGTGAGGAAGGCCAAGCTTAGAGAGAACAGCTTATCCACCAGATGCCTTGAACCGGCATTATTCAGAGTCCAAAGGTTTGAAAAAAGATACTTTGGGCTGCAATTCCCAGATTTCCCCGGGTTGGATTGCCTGTGAGCGTCTGAGAGGAGATGTCTAAAAATATATATATAGCTTTTCTAAGCTCTCTCCAAATTTCCAAGGCAGGACCAATGCACCACACGGTGACGTAAGGACAACTGAACTTGCCGGGGAAGCATTTTGCAACCTGCCTTCCGTTCTGCTCCTGAGAGTCTCCTTTTAAGCGGAAGAGGAGTCCCCCCCGGGGAGCCTCATTATCTCTCAGCCTGTACGTCTTCGTTTGTTTGTTCCCTGCTAATTTTCCAAAGGCTCAGCTCAAGATGTGTACAAGGGGAGCTTGTTTACTTTGCCTGGGTAGCTCAGGGGTTTAAGTCTCTGACTGGGGTGCCAGAGAATAGGAGTGCGCATTCTCACGGTGCCTCCTGAGAGTAGAACCAGCTTGGGTGGCCTTGGGCCAACTGCACAGTCTTGGGTGCCCCCAGAAGAAGAAGGGAATGGAAAACCAGTCCAATATTCCCTCTGATTTTCTGCCTTGTCCCATGTGCAGGTGTGCAGGTTTTCGGATACAACCAGAACTAAACGGGTAGCAAGTGATGGAGCTTGCGTGCGCTGCTTAGAGGGAACATAGAAAGCCACTTCTCTACATTGAAAACCCTGGGAAGCATTGCCATAAGTCAGAATTGATTTAATGGGACATGATTATGATTACCATATTTTCCCATGTATAAGATGCCCCCCTTGTATAAGACCCCCCCCCCATTTTTCTAATCCAAAATTAAGAAAAATAAGTGGGGCTTAGCAAGTGTAGAGAAACAGGGATCAAAGCGCTGCAGGATCGCTTTGATCCCTGCTTTCCCCTCCACTTGTTTTTGTTCTCTCCTCAGCTTACTTCCATGTATAAGATGACCCTCAATTTTTAGTCTAAAGCTTACAGACAAAAGTATAGTCTTATAAACAGAAAAAAAGTATTCTTTGAACAGGTGGAAAGGGATGGGATCCGGAGAAAGGATTCATGCAGGAGATGTGCGGAGGGGAGTATTTTCCTATGAGAAAGCTAGGAAGCTGAACTTCACCACTGTAGCTTCAAGCGCTGAGAAAAGTTAACTTTCTCAGATGACCGCCCCCAAGTGGGTTGCAGGATTATGGGAGTTGTAGTGTACAAGTCTGTCTCTCATAGTACAAGTGTACAATCAAGCACTGCCGTTTTAGAAAAAGAGGACCAATTCTGGTCAAATAAACTGAATGAGCTTTAAAAACTTCACAGGTTTAGCTTCCATGTAAAAACTTTGATAAAACAATAAAAGTCAAAGCTTTCAACAAGGAAAACACATTGTCTCATCTTTAGGATTACGAACGGCATGCTAACTACATTGCCGTTGTATGTTTTGTTCACTTAACCTCTATTCCGCCTTCGCTCGAAGGAGGTGTATAATTTTCCTTGCTCATCCGTCAGTGTGTTTTCTTGATACGAAGGAGCTTCTCTCCTGGGTCTGTGTGTTTCCTATGTCAGAAAGGGCTTTGCTCCTCAGGGTAATTGCATGCATTTGTAAATTCTTTTTTAAAAAACCTGGGTTGATTTGGGCATTGTTTCCAGTGGCTTTTAGCCAACGAAGAGGTTGAAGTAAACAGCATGGCAGCAACCCTAGCAGGAGTAAATGGGGCCTAGGGAAAATTCCTTGGAACTTATTTTGTTGTTATGATTCCTTATTTGGAACCTGCAAACTTAAAGCAATTAATTTGTAAACTTTAAATTTCAAACATACCACTAAAATGATTTACAGTGGTGCCTCGCACAACGAACGCCTTGCGGGACAGAAAACCCGCAAGACGAATGGTTTTTGCCATCGCTGTGGTGCCTCGCAAGAAGGCTTTTTCTATGGCTGTGCTTCACAAGACCAATGCCTCGCAAGACGAAAATAATTCATTCGTCTTGTGAGGTTCCCCTAGGAATGCATTGCAATGCATTCCTATGGGAAACCACTTTTCGCAAGACAAAAATTTCACAAGACAGCGCTACTCGCGGAACGAATTACTTTCGTCTTGCGAGGCACCATGGCTGCCGGCCATCGGAGAAACATCGCTGTACGGTGAGTAAAGCTGCTATCGGAGCAATGGCTTTTTTTGATCCGTACAGCGATGTTTTCACACAGCGAGGGTTAATCTGGAACGGATTAACCTCGCTGTGCGAGGCACCACTGTATTATATCTTTGAGTTAAGTGCCCGAGGGCCTGAGCAATTATTTTGAAAAAAATACATAGTGAAAATTTGTAGGTTTTTTTTTTTTGAAAAATCTGAAAATACAACACAAAAATGAGTACAATGGAATATTATTCCAGGCAGTTGTGAAAAAGCAGCTAAGAAATATGGGAGCGATAACCCACCAAACTGTCCCGTGGATTAGAATAATTCTGTGAACTTTTTGAGAATCTGCTGGAGAGCTTGGCTGCGGAGCCAGAGGGTTGGGAGTTCGATTCCCCACTGCGTCTCCTTGGCAGCGGCTGGACGTGATGATCCATCGGGCCCCTTCCAGCTCTGCCGTTTTAAGATTATTATTCTTATTGTAACTTAACAGTGGATCAAACCAAAAAAAGGCCAATTAGTTTAGCCTCCTCTTTGCCATAGTGGCTAGCCAAATGCCTCCAGAAAGCCAACGATCAGAGCGTTTGAGGTGCCTTGGTAACAAGGGTGGAGAACCAGTCGCTGATTAGGAGCTGATGGGGCTTGTAGTCCTGTCATCGAGGTCTAGGGGTCAGGGTGGATGGAGACCGGCAAGATCCACAGCAGCCATTCTCAACCTCTCGTTTGCCACGGCCATAAACATGATGTGTTTACAGAGGCCATCGGACCCCTTCCAGCTCTGCCATTTTAAGATTATTATTCTTATTGTAACTTAACAGTGGATCAAACCAAAAAAAGGCCAATTAGTTTAGCCTCCTCTTTGCCATAGTGGCTAGCCAAATGCCTCCAGAAAGCCAACGATCAGAGCGTTTGAGGTGCCTTGGTAACAAGGGTGGAGAACCAGTCGCTGATTAGGAGCTGATGGGGCTTGTAGTCCTGTCATCGAGGTCTAGGGGTCAGGGTGGATGGAGACCGGCAAGATCCACAGCAGCCATTCTCAACCTCTCGTTTGCCACGGCCATAAACATGATGTGTTTACAGAGCGAGCTCACAGGTCCCTGCCTGCAAGGAGCTTCCAGTTTTTGAAATTCACCAGAGAAGGAAACAGCAAGGTCAGACAGCGGAAGTGCAGGAAAGCAGCTAGCGTAAAAGGGTTGGCGATGTGTGTTTTGGTGGATCATAGGTTCTGTTGCAGTTGGGGATTTAAAAAAAAGGGGGGGAAACGTCCTTCTCTCATCCCTCGCAGCCCATACCCACAACCGCCATGGCTTCCCAAAGGGCCGGCTTTTGAGGCACACTTGCACATACATCAGAAACAGACTCCCTGCAGATTAGAGGCCTCATTTGCAACCCACGGAGAGTGCCGTGTGTGTGTGTGTGTGTGTGTGTGTGTGTGTTGCGTTGCCCTGGCACCGTTGTCAGGCAGGTTGTCAGGAGCATTGACCGCAGAGAGTACATCCCTATAGATTATCCGACACTTTTCTTCTCCGTAAATGAGAGGAGGGCACCCAGAGGAAAAAGACACACACACACCCCCGAGGGCCTTCCACATCACCAGCCTGGGTTGCCTAGCATTGCTGGGACAGGAAGAGAGGATGGGGGAGAAAGAGAGCGAATTTGAAAACCATTTTTTTCCCCGCTCTGTTCCGGCCGGCTGCCCAGAGAGGCTTGACTTCTCCGCTGGTCTGAGCCTCGTCATGGCTTCGGGGGCCTCCGAGCTGGAGCTCCCTTTGGTGCAGGACGTTCCGCTGACCCGGTGCATGAGGCTGCGGGCGCAAAGCCTCCAGCAGAAGAACGAGAAAGCCCAGGAGGGCGAAAAGCTTCTGCAGCCCAACGAGTTTGTCTACCGGGTAGACTTCGCCCGCCAGCGGGGTCTCCGGTTCCTGCGCTGGCACGTCGCCCTGGGGAAACCGGGCAAGGTGACGGTCATCGGCACCTCTCAGCACTGGACGCCGGATCTCACCCACCTCATGCGGAGGCAGCTTCTGGAGCCCGTGGCCGTCTTCTGGAAGAAGCCGGGCTCCGAAGAAGTGGAATGCAATGAAGCCGATGCCTTGGAGTTTGGAGAGCGGCTGGCGGAGTTAGCCAGGATCCGGAAGGTGATGTATTTTCTCCTGGTCTACGCGGAAGGCCTGGATCCAGCGCACCTGAAGTGCTCGGTGGTGTTCACGGTCTGACGTGGGACCCATCCTGATTTCCATGGCAGTCCACCTATGTTGTCAGCTTCTGTCTTCCGCTTTTCGGCTCTGCGGGTCCTGCTTCTCAGGGTAGGGTTTGGTGCTTTAGAAGCCGTACCTGATGTAGGACGGATTCCAGTCTCCCTTGTCCTTCCGAATTAGATGCCTGGCCTCATTTTAAGAGCTGCTTCCATGAAGGCGAAGGCTCCCCAATGTCAGAGAACCGGGAAGGCTGAATCTTTGTTTAGCTTAGGAGGCAGACTTGCGATTTTAGCTGTGCTTAATTGCAGCCGTCCGGAGAATTCTGAAAGGCAATGGGCAACACATCCTCTGTGACCAACATCCTGGTGAAAGAGAAGAGCCATTCCTTTCCTGTGGACAAGATCCTCCGACAACCCCAGAAGCCTACCCAGCGTGGCTGGATGTAAAGAAATGCAATAAACCGAGGGAAGCTTATCTCTCCCACCCGATGCTTTACAACAGGAGCCTGGTTGTTTACTCAGCGATGAGCATGGAATCCATTCTCTGTGATACCTTTTCCTGGGACCTTAAGGATTTAAATGTCTGTTTGCCTTTTCAAAGCAAGCGTCTAATCCTCATGAATGCCAAAGGAAACATGGAGATATTTTGTTAGCCATTAAATTAGAAAACAAAGCAAAGATTAGGCTTGAGGGGCTCTTTTACCTGAATCCCTTGCCCTCCCCACACACAATCTTCGTAAAAGAGGTTTAGTATATTGGGAACTGAGGATTGGACACAACTTGTTTTCCTTTGGGTCTCTGTTGATGGGGTTGAATTTGAACTCAGGTCGCAGAATCAAATCTATTCCTGCTTTGTTCTCCTCCCTTTGTCCCAGTTAGTATTTTCCCACCTTCAGATAAAGAAAAAACTTCCCCCAGGTGTGCATGTTAATCTAAGGTTTTTTTATCTATCTATCTATCTATCTATCTATCTATCTATCTATCTATCTATCTATCTATCTATCTATCTATCTATCTATCTATCTATCTATCTATCTATCTATCTATCTATCTGTCTGT